CGATACGGAAATAGAATTGTTGCGAAGGAATAGCTTCGAACTCGTCATCGAGTTGTTCTGAGAGTTGATTCCTCTGATAAGAGTGGGATCAGACAACAAAACTTCTCTACCTTAGTCAATATTCATGTCCTTCCATCGAACACCAGAACTCTCAAGTCGACTAGTCTCAATTCACCTTGTCGCTGACCGTTGCTTGAGGAACTTTTTCGACAGCATCCTTGTGATCACTTTTGCGTGATTAACTGTGGGATAAAAACAGCACATTGGCAAATCGAAAACAAGCCAGAAAAATACCACATCTGCTAGAGCTTTCAGCGGTTTAGTGCCGACTCGGTCAACTGACTTAGTACTTTATACGTGCACGTGCTGATAAGCTATGTGAATGAAGCCACTGCAAGAGTTAAGGTTGCACGGTGCTCTTTCGGGTAGTCGGTACAGGTAAAACGGTGCCCTTGTGGTGTAATCGGCAGCGCGAATGCCAGGAAAGAGAAGGTTCCGGTTTGTATCCCGCTTGCGTCGAAGTATTTGGCTCACGACCCAGCATACTTCTGAATGTTACGATAGCATTCCCCAGATTGCTGAAAGCTCAGAAAAAGTGCCCCTTGACATGCACAACGCATGCCATGACTGGCTGGGATCGAGTACGTGGTTGACAGTTTGGGAGAAATGCCAATGTTCTCCCCTGTTATCAGCTCTTAAGCAAAGACTGTCGTTTTTTTTCGATAGTGAGCTATCAATCCTTGTTGAGTGGTAAGAGAAAGCAGCTGCAAAAAAGGTCCTCTGTCACAGTTGATTATTATTTCGTCATAAGCAGTGAAATGATGTAATAAAGCTCACAAGTGTAGTATTAATTTTTATTTTTGTGCAAATAAATACAAAAATACGTACTATGCATGGTATGACAAATCGGCCGAATGCTCATAACCCGCTGACACAACCTCTTCATAAGGCTCTCCTTCAAAGGTCACCGTCGACAAATCCTCCTCGTAATGCTCTTCAGCAGGCACCTGCACCTCTCTATATGGCGCTTCCGAACTTTCCACCTCCACCTCAAGACAGACCGTATCGTCGTGTTCAACCGCTGAAACTTTTGATTTTTCAAAAATTAAACACACTGCACATAATAAGCCCATAGTAAGAATGACTCCAACAGCCGCCCAACACACGGGAAAAAAAACCTTGCCTCAAAGTATTAGGTTGGAAAGAAAGTCCTGCAACACTTTTTCAAATTTTTGATTTTAATTTTATCTTTTTTGGTTACAACTCCTGACCGGTCTTATATCTACCATGAGTGTCCACCACTTGTCTCCAACGCTCAGAAAATTTCTTGATGCTCCTTCGCCAAAACCCAGCGGAGTGCGGGTCGAGAAAGGAGGCGACCTCACTTTCGAGTTGGAGTTGATCGTCTAATTATTTCGTCATCAAAGTGATGATTTAAGGTCTAGGATAGGTGGCAGTGATTTGAAGGTCCAGGGTAGGTGGCAGTCATTTACAGCTCGACCAGGGGATTACGCTAAGAGAGGAAAGAAATCTTGCCGCAACTCCAGAATTTCTTACCGGGCTCATTTCGGATCATGGTGATTCGCAATGTCATGAAAGAAATGAATATTGTCGCGGTACGAGGGCTCTTGACGAGCTACCTCGGCCAGCTTCTGGAGCTAGACCTATCTACACAATGGTGCCCACAGAAAGAATCTGTCTGCCGTTGAGTTTCCGTAAGAGCCCTACCGGCAATGGAGTGTATGGGACGCTGCTGGTTTCTTATAAAAATATCAAAAGATCGAAAGCGCTGGTAAAGCTGAAACACGCTGTAGCGCTGAACGGCATGCCTATAGAAGCTATTGCAGATAGTGTCAGTCGTTGACACGAATCCATAGTTTTGTAGACATTTGTACTAGACAGTGACTCGGAGTACGGATTTGCTAGTGGTCGACGGTTTTCTTTGAATGTACGGATTTGCTAGTGGTCGAGGTTTTTGAATTTTCTTGGATAACTACTGACTGCAGCACTTATATCCACCTCGTGGATTGAAGCCACGAGAATGCTCTACCATTTGGTAGTCATAAATGTTACCTATGAATTTTTCAGAAAAAAAGAAAATTTTAGAAAGAGTGTTGCAGAACTTTCTTTCCAACCTAATAAAAAAGATAAAACAGAAGCAAGCCACTGAGACTACCTTCAAATCTCTCTTCCTCTACGTCTTCTTCTCCATCAAATTCTGGTTCCAGTGTCTGCAAAAACGCCGTTGTTTGCGGTACTCCTCTAACGAGCTGCCCTTGCAGGGCTCGTACTTGTGCCATTAGCATGTTCACCTTGGAAGGATCCACAGTTTGCTTAATTTGAGCGTGAAGTGCCTAAAGGAATGAATAATGTGGTTAAAATGAAGATCTTGAACATTCAGGGGTTCCTGATAAACTCTTATATCTACATCCATTTGCAGTCTCCATGAATTCATCATGGTAACACAATAACATGAGAAATGTCCCCAAAATACACAAAAGAGGCTCACATTTATCCTTCTATTTAGACTAGTCATAGTTTCATCGAAACCAGCGTTCCCCGTCGGCTGTGGTTCCATTAGCAGTGGCATTATTTTGGTCGGTCTTGACGATTCTGAAGATAGAACTACTTTCTAAAAATATAAAACTCGAAAACAAACCAAAAGTTTGAGACATGAGCTTTTAAATCTATAGCATGCATATGCCTAGCACGAATGATAGCAGATCGAAAAGTACACATCGAGTCTCAGGTTGACTGAGAACTCTGTGCCAATAGCAAAGCACCCTCAACAAATAAGGACTGGAAAATGGAAAAGAACTGGACAATGACAGGTATTGCAAAGCAGAACTGGTCGTTTAAAAAATTCTCCGTAGGGACAAATACAAGTAATTTCGCCGAAACTTTATTTCCAGGTGCTTAGAGTCCAGCCGTAAGAAAGCGACACTGACTATTAACAAAGAACACGGACACTTCAAAGTAAAAGAAGAAGACAGTCAATACAAATTAGATGGACTGAACGTTTCAAGTAGTGAATGGCAAAGTGAAACTGACTCACCATCTCGGACCGAGTGAACCAAATTCGGCATATTTTCCGAACTGGGCACCTCATCCACAAAATACGTCAGGGAATCTTCGTCACCCTCAACCATCTGCAAAGACAAATTCTTTTTTAATGCCATCAGTGCTACCAACAAGCAATCCAGTATACCTGGTGGCCACTAACCACATCTATCTCTTCGTATTCACCTCCTCTATAGTCCACGTATGTACAAGGCCCTATGATCTGGAATATTAAAGATCCAAATGTTCTAATGGATACAAAAAATGAACCGATCAAAGACATTAACAGGTCTTTAAAAATGCTTACTGGTGGAGACACATCGCGTATACCAGCAATTATGGAATTTGGTGCCGCATCACTATGATTCCCAGATACGTGACCGCTGAAGAAAAAAAATGAAAAAAAAATCGATGGCAAACGAAAAACGAGTCAAACTAACTTACTAATTGTGTGCCTTGGCGCAGCATTTGATGTTCCCCTTGAATCACTGAAGCTCGTTAAACGAGAAAACCGCACACGGCTGTAAAAAAATCCATATGTTTTCGAAGTTATGGCTCCAAAATTAATTAAGTGAGCTTCAGCACTTTCGAACAAAAACTTCGAGCGCTTAGTTTACTCAAATTCCACACGGCGATTTAGTGATGAGTCATCAAGTTCTAAAGTTGATTCGAATTTTTCTCCTTCCGAAGGTTTACGACCCTCTGTTCATGCGAAATAAAAAGAAACAAGCAAGAAAAAACCAATGCACTCACTCCGGCAAGGAACGAACCGACTGGAATCTGACACTCTGTTGAGGATGCTTATCCTGAAATTGCTCCCCATCAGATTACGTGCCTTTCTCACCGTTTTCTTGAACCTTATGGTGAAACAAGGGCAAAATTCATAGTGAAACTGAGTTGAAATAAAACGGAAAGGAAAAACGAACAGGCTTTCCAGGCGTCTGATCAGAATGCAGCGTTGAAAGAGGAGAGAGTATCTAAAGAAATTTAGATTAAGTTCAGCCATATCACAGCCATATCTTTTAGATAATCTCGCCCTGTCCTTTCGCAAACCTGCCAAGACATTTCCGCTCATTGAAACCCTCAATTTATAATTCAAGCAATTTATTGCACAAACTCACTGATTCCCTCTCCTTTGGTGATATCAATCCTTGCTTTCGAAGTTTATCAGCAATGTTTCGAACCTCATAGCGCTTTAGATAAAAACCTCTATCAGCCGAAGTATACTTTTCTGGAAAACACAAGTTTTCCCAGTAAGTCCTGGATCAAGCTTTTTGATATTGATCTGGCTTTTTCTAAATTTCCAGAGCGGATTCACTAAACAAAGAAAGTCGTAAAACGTATTAATGAGAAGTACAAGAAAATGCAAGGAGCTTACCAATATAGCCTATACGATTATAATCCCAATAAAACGCTTACACATGGCTATATGGTATAATTATCAACATAGAGACTCACTTCGTACCATATCGTGAACCGTCTGTGAGTCCATTCCTTTCAGCAGCAGCTCGGCCACTTCATCTTTAACTTTGCTTGGAAGAGGTAGTCTACTCACATCAAAATTGTGCCCAAAATGTCCAAGACAGCAGTGCACTATGACACTTCTGAAACGTGGTGCATAAAGTAACAACTGACCAAAGAAAAAAGTACAAGAATTTTAGTGCTTGTTTTGGGACCTTTTCTTCGAAAAGGTTGGCCCTCTGGAGTTCAACAAGAGTTATGCGTAATATGAGCTCGTAAAGGAAAGTTCACCAACCCATCCGATATTTCTTTGGCGTTCATAAACGCAGTACAGTAACGTCCCAGCTTCTTAGTCGACCGCAAGCGACTTACTTGCACAGCGGAATGACGAGATCTATTTGCATAGCCACTCAAATGACATAGATAGTATCTGAAAAAAAAACATTCTGTAAAAAAGAAAGAGGTTGACTAATAGTGAAGAAACTTCATAGCCTAACGATTATTTTTATTACTTTTTCTTAAGTGCTAATCATTGACTATAGAAATGCCAAATTGGCTGCGCGCGCATTCCCGTGCTTCATCAAGATCGGGCTGCAGTGGTATAAACAGGGTCACCGATATTTTTGTAATGGTTTCCGGCAAACTTCGTCCACCCACCATAAGCATACGACCTCCCCTCCCTTGTTGGACTCCACATTTTCCCGCGCTCCAGGACTTCTTGGAACCGAGACATCAAGTCGGGGCAGACTCCGTCCACACTGGTACACTGCTCACTCACCTACAGCAGTTGACCTTATTTCCTTCGCCGACCTCTACCCATTTTTCCCGACCTTCGGGACCTCTTGGGACCGTGCCATAGGTATGGCTATACGCCCACTTCAGTGCATGCCCCGCCCACCATGACATCTTAACCTCCTCTCCTTCGCTGACCTCTATCCACTTTTTCCACTCTCTAAGACTTCTCGGAACCGAATTATGAGGACTTGTAGAAAACGCTGTACACTTCAGAGCGCGCTCCGCCCATTGTGGGCGGGCCTCCGCCACGTCATGTATGCTGGAAACACCTTAGACATTGCTCCCCACCAATTTGTTTTCTGCTCTGTAGGCTTTCTCCCAACCGAGTTATGAATTTTTTCATTGAAGCACCGCTTTTTTAGAGAACGCCCCGCCCACCCAAGGGTGGGTCTTCCTACTTCGTCGGCTTATCAATGGTTGTTTTGTAATTGAATCTGAAATCTTGGTTGTCAGTACACTAATTTCGATGCACGCCACGCCCACTGTAGGCAGGGCTCCGCTTGGCTGATGTATGTTTGTACTTCTATGGTACACCCATCCCACACTTGACCCGATCTCTCCAGGTTAATCTCCAGAAAGAAGGGAATTTCGTGACAGAGACATAGCGCATTATATTGCGTTGTTTGGAAAATTTCCGCCGTTTTCAGTAACCCAGTTTTAAACGCTTCATTTCTGAACAATTTCTAAGGAAGTGCTACCGCCTTATATATCAGTAGAAAGCGCGTTTCTCGCTCTGTATGCATCTACTTTTATTGTAACTCTACTATTTTAACACATTTCTCCTCTTTCTTGAAGTCTTAGTGACAACATACTCAACAGGCCGTTGTGTACGAGTTTTTCGTTTCCTCTCAGATTTGGTGGGAAATGTGCTGAAGCAAGTCATGATATTAACCGGGCATTCGTATAGATATTTCGAATCACAACTGCACTGCGAGTATTTCATGGATTCGGGAGTCCCGAATCCATGAAATACTCGCAGTGCAGTTGTGATTCGAAATGTCTATACAGGTGTCCAAAGAACGTCCAAAGGAATCGACAAGTGAATGCCACCGACTCTTCGCCCCACAGTTGCGCAGCCCCATCTCGCACTTCCAGCAAGTTGAACTAGCTGAGCTACAAAGTGTGCTGCGAACATCTTGCACAGTAGACCTCTTGCCTACCAACTGCCACTTTTCCAGCCATCTGGATAGTCTTTTCAAAGAGATCAAACGTTGAAACCCAACATGATGGTGAAACGACCTTCGCGGAAGTTCTTCGCCTACAGCTCCAGCACTTCTGCATCCATTCTACTCACTTAGACAAGAACATAGGAATTCTAAAAGTTTTTTATTTCGATCAAAAATGTTTTGTTCGAACCAGGATATGCGCTTTTGAATTTAAGGGTCAGGATCGGTGAAAATTTTCCAAACAAGCCAATATATAGTAAGGGATAAATCGTACACCAAGCAGACGTTTGAACTGCCAGGAACGACTTCAGGAGGAAATCATAAAGAAGAACATAATTGAATTAATATTGCAAATGCATTGGAAAATTCTCAGAGGAAAAGGCAAGATACCATGGAATGAAAGTAATAGGGCTCTTACGGAAAAAACGCCCAGATGATTGCGAAAAAGACATTGCAAGTACGTTGACAATCTTTTTTTTTATGTTTTAGCACTATTTAGAGGCACATTTCCGCTAAAATGTGTAAATCAAGTGTGAAGTGGAACTCACGACTGGATAACACCGCTGAGACGAGTTCGACTCGATGACAACAGCACAATTTGGACATCGTATCAGTTTCGACCTGATCCTTCCATTCCTAAAGTACAGTGACTAACAGCAAAAGATTTCAAGGAGAGGAATTCCCCTCACCTTAAACCTTTGCAGGTTAGGAAACTTGAACTCCTCGATGACCAAATCATCACGACCGTGCTCTTGTGCAACATGTTCGCACAATGTTGACATACGGTCGCAAACGACATCGCAGTGAGGATCCCCGCATTCTATGGTTGTGCCCCTAATCAATCAAGCATATCACTTAACTTACGGCCATAGAAAAAGGTACTAGAAGGAAGAGGGATATGAATGAAACGTCTTTGCTTTCACCGACCGAAGTTTAACAGACTAGGCAATTTTGAAGATTCTAAGTAATGCAACTAGACAATAAGTAAAATGGTCAGCCGACGGGTGCAAAGAGCAGCACCCTTGCCTTCCATAAGAAACGTAATGCCCATGCTCCGTTAATTTGGGAAACTTTACTTCGGGTAGTGAGGATCCGTGTGCTCCTCCCTCACATGACGATTCATGACCACTTGCGAGGGAAACCACTTGCGACAATATTTACACTGAGCTAGAAAACAATAATCTCGAGAAGCTTCTTTTATTTTACTCATGAGCTTTTTCTGACATATGGACAGATTCTGAGAGCCTAGGTAGCGCTTGGATCGCTGGCGCTTAAAGGGCAAACTACGCGACTGATGTACTTTTCGCCGATTTTTGCTGCATCTACACTGCTCTAAGACATTTCTAAAACCCACTGCCACTACTTATAAACTCTTCGACTTCGCTCATTGATCTCTTGATACGATGGTGCACTTAAAGGCAAAGTTCGGGCTCAGACCCACCTAATAAGCCCTTAAAGTGGCTAGAAGTGCATGGGACGCAACTGCAGGCGACTCGCCAAGTTCCCGCATCCAAATGCGTCACTAAGGCGCTAGGGGCCAAACTTTGACACGCTCCACCTGTTGCGACACGCTCCGCCCACCGCTCGATATTTTGTCTGCGTCGCAATGCTGAGCTGCTATGCTCTCTCTTCTCGGATTTCTCTACCGCTCTCCGCGCTCACATTATCTCTCATCTCCCTGCCGGCCTTTTGAACTTCTCCGCAACGTAGAGCAAAAGGCTCGTATTTCCTGTGTATTTCATGAATTTTTTCCCTTTTTTCCCCTGGCGGTCCACCTCCCGCCGCTACATCACATTAGAGAAAAATTACCTCACCTAAGTCTAAGCGTAAATCTTGCCTTTAGGAGACGATCAGATCACTGTCACTACTATCTACGATCGCACTTGCGATTTTGACGGTTCTTAGCAGCTGTTTCGATATATTTCATTACCATCAACAGCCAAAACAAAACATTCGTTTCCGAACACCTACCGTGGAATGCGCCTTGAAACCATCGCTTGGCAGCATACTTATATAATGACACAACTAAAAGGTCAAAACCAGCGACACCCTCGGTGTCTGCGGAAGAGTTCCATACTTATATCGCATGATCCGAATAAATTACTAATCTATTTCACTTTATTCGCGGAGTCGCAAATATGACGCAGTTGGTTCGCAATAAAGAAAAATGAAACCGAACAAATAAAATTCAGTTCCACCAGTTAAGATTAAATGTCCGCAATAATGTTTATAAACACTGACCGGTGACGTTCTCGAATTAGGTATTTGGTCTGAAGATCTCACTTGTGACCGAATTATCGGTAACACCTTCTTCTCATGACAAAGGTGAGCGAAACAACCAACCACGGAAACATAGCTAAAACATAAAAAAAAACACAAAAGCGAAAAACAAAAAAAAGAACATCCCTTCTTGGGACAGAGTACGAAATTTGAAACATATGCTGGAAGTCTCACTTGTCTCTCCGTTTAGCCGAAGAGACGTAAAGTAAGTGGCCATCGGGCATGCTCTTCCACATCTTGCCATCATTATTGATGATTTCTTACCATTTGTTGCCGCATTGGTACACGTATCGCACAATGATTATTTATTCGAATAAATTCCTAAAGATGGTGAGTTGAAGGAATCCCCATAGATGAGAAAAAATGAAAACTTAAAATCACCGTCGCTCTCCTCTCGAACACCGTGCTCTACCATAGTTGTGTCGTAAGCTTTTTGGTGCGAAGCTTTCCACAACTAAATAATATTCGAACACTACTCTTTGTCCACAGATTTCTCTATTTTGTAGCTCACACCTCATACTTTTCTGGTGAGACAAAAGTTAACTTCCGCGGTCTGAACTGATGCTGACAGTGAAAATTGACCAAATGCGAGATAAGATCGTCTACAAGGCTAAAAGTCGAGTGGCAATGCTGGTGAGCACATGCGAGTGTTTCCATAGGGATTTTCTAGAATAAAAGAGGAGCAATAGTTGATAATTCAGGGTTGGGTCATATTTCTGACCTCGCAACACTGCGATTTTTCGACCTGTTTTTTTTTTTCGTTGAGTGGATACAGTGGGAGTAGAACGTTTGAAAATTTCCAAATTTTAGACGTAGCGTGAAAACCCACGAAATAGCCTCGATTCAAATATAGTACTATATAAAGTGGAAGATTTCGTGTGAACAAAACCTTCCGAAATCGAGAATCTTGATTCGAAAACTGTATTTTCTGCGCTTCAATGTTTGTACGTTTACCATTCTGTTTGATTATTAGGCAATGCGTAATTCTTACACATATTAATTTCAAAAGTTCACTAACTCTACAGAAGACAGGTTGTCGTTGTCCATGTCCAGTAATGATGCAGGAAAAAATTTGTTTCTCAGTAGTTTAATCTCTACAGAACAGGTTACCAAAGATTTTTCAGCGCTATTGCAGTTAGAAAGCATGTTTATACAGAAACAACATGTAATTCATCAAAAAAGGCTGTACGAAAATACTAGCTCATCTTCATAACTTCGAGGAGACGTTGAAAAGGGGCGGTTCTTGAGCTTCAGGAGGAAGGTCTGGTTGACTGCCCACATTAGCTGCGACTAGATGAGGGGTAAAAATTGTGCTCAGCGACCAGTTGAATTTCTGCCTTCTCGAAGTGATTGTGAGCTTCGTTAAGTGTTGTGTGAACACCGAACAGGAAACCTTACTTTAGTATCAAATTAAAGTCCAAGAGTGAGAAAGACTGGAAACAGTGTCACAGATGAGGATGTTTCAAAATATTCGGCGGTTTCTAAGTCTCAGTATCCATCGAAATTTGGCCAAGCTAAGTAAGGATAGTCTGAAGAAAGCACTGTTTTCCTAGACTACAGAAAATGTGCGGGGTTTTCTATTACGACAATTTTCAGATGCATGCCTCACTCGGGACCGTGTGCATAATACAGACTATGAGCGACCATATCAATATCTGAACTATAAGTGAATGTACCCACCAGAGAAAAGCTCGCATGTCGCACCAGACACATTTTAGATCTAATCGAGTCGATGAAAACAATGCCTTCAGCAAATATACTAATTCTCCAATTACTCGAGAAATACTGTGCTGAGTTTGCTTCGGTATTGTGGAGCTTCCAAACTTTTGACATTCGATTCAAAACAAAATCGTTTTTTAAAACTGCGATTATCGATTTTGGAAAATTATGTGCAGATCGTGCCCACACTTCGTAACATGTTGAATTTATGGCATTTCATTGTTTATAGGCCGCCGCATAAGATTAAAAACAAAAAAGTTTCCAAACTTTTCAACGCTATTGTGCATATCCATCACACTGCGAAAGATTGATCTCGGAAAAGATCTATTCCACCATTTTGGAGGAAAAGGGGTTGAAGATATGAAGTCGATAACAAAAAAACGCAAACATCACATAGGTAACCCGTCAAAAAAAACAAGAGGAACTACACAAAAAAAGGAAATGGAAAAAGAAAGCAACAATGTGCGAAGGCGGCGTTAATACTCACCTTGCTTCTTGCAGAAGTCTGCTCACCAAGTGACGTTGAAGGCTCTGCACTAGTAATTAACGCTGCTGGCTTCAGTTCCCCTAAAATTACATATATTGCAAAAAATTATGCTTTCATAGGATATTGTAGATGTATATTAGGTGGTTTCGAGAACGTACTAGTGATGGAAGACGACTCCTCTACCTTTACAAGTTGTAACTGAGGCTCCTCATGGAGCTCTGGAGATCGAGACTTGGACAAACTATGATCCTCCTGAATCGCCCGAAGCGTCTGAAAAGTATTTTATAGGTCGAATGAAGTCAACATCCCTAATATACATACCCTCGTTGACATCGACATTTCTTCTAGGGGCAGTTTAGCTACAACAAGAGTGCCAATTCCTTCGTCCTGCAGCATGAAGCATTTAACATCAACGACACAAAGACTAACAATTTATTATACACAAGATTAATTCGGGATAATGGAACTTACTGCAAGTACTGGCGCACGTTTCGAAGGTATCACTGCACCAGATTCCCAAATTTCACCCTTTTGGTCCTTTGGATTTCTTAAGCCAATGAGAGGAGTGGATGAGATGCTTTCCGCCCTCCCTGAAAGTCCAAACCCTATTTCGAAATGAAATCTGCAGCAAGAGAGCGTTTCCTTCGGAAAAATGAACAATCCATAGTGTGGTCTTGTAAGAGAGCCACTTACCACGACCCACTAGTGTGATCCTAGGAGCAGTTCGAGTGACTAATAGTGGTTTGAGGCAGTTGCTTGAGGTTGATTTATTCATACGAGACGGCATTCTTCGTAACTGAGCTTGTCCTGGAAATAGAAACCAATTATGCTAAAGATTGAATAATACAAAAGAACTTACCGCTCATATGACTGGAAGCAAGAAAAACAGAAATTATTTGTACGGTACAGCAAGAGAGCCGCACAAGATTGTTACTATTACAAATACCTGGACTCAATAGGTCTGGATCGCAGTGTTGAAAACGCATTTCTTTCCAGAACTAGAGTACTCAAACAGCGAACGAGGAAGACTTCATGATACCCAACCTCGGGGTTCCCCGACGCGGGTGAGGTGAAGGGTCCACAACCTTAGGGATGTATCCCAACCTCGAGGACAAATCCCCATTTCCAACATTCAGCAAGAGACCGCACAAGGGTTTTGTCGCACAACCCACCATTTTTCGATGGGTCCTATGACGCAACCATACGGTACGGTCATTGCTGTCGATTCTCCGCGTCGCCATCGTCGGGGACCCCTAAGTGGGCGCATGCATAGTCGATCGTCCGACAGCAACGTTTG